ATAAGACTTAAAATGACCATTCCCAGCATGTCCATGGCCAATGATGTGGTTCAAAGACCTTTACTGGTTATTTTAATGTTTGTTTCTAATATTAGCCTTAAGTGCTTTCTGGCCCAGGTCTTTCCCAAGCCGCCTTTTTAAAGTTTGTTTTGTAATTGAAGAAATAGCTGAAATGTTGCACAGTTTTATCTCTGAGCCAGCAAGTGGTACAGGACATGACCAGTGACCAGATCTGTCATTGGACAGTAAGAAGGCCTGGCCGCATGACTGGCCCTACCAATCATCAGCTTAATTGTTTTAATTTGTCTTCTCAAAGGGACTGACTCAGCTGTTTAATGGTCTGTTTTGTAGGTTTAGATCCAAGCTCTCTTTTTTTTTTTTAAATCACAGCATTATAAGCTGAGAGATTATTTGTAAACCTCGCTGCGTGTCTCTGTTTCTGACTATGGATGTCAGGTGGCACCTAGTCATTAACATCTACAAGTCTAGATCTGTCTGGCCACCTTCACTTTGGAACCCATTTTCTTACTTTTGCTTTGTTGAATTCTCTGTTTTCGGATTTCTCATGAAGCCCAGCGGTGTGTATGGTCAGCCAGTTTTTGGAGTACAAAACAAACACAATTTCACCTTCACATCACAGTTACATTGTGCAATATACGCCATAGATCTTTCTTCCGTCCATACTCGATGTGCACCGGAGCTGGTTTCTCTTTTTTGTTTCCTCTTTTTTTTTTTTTTTTTTTTTTTTTTTTTTGATTGTTGCTGATTGCAGCAAAAGACTTCGGAACTTCAAAAACTTGACCCCTTTTAAAAACCTAGATTCTTACCAGGACCCAGTCCCCCCTGAAACTGTTGGGGAAAAGAGGAAGAAGCAGCTGCTGAACTGTGCATGCAACAAACTGGACTTAAAGAGTGAAACTGGGCACACAACAGTGCGCACTTCCTCTGCATGCCACAGCCACATCCAACAGAGACTGAATTCACAGTGGGGTTGAATGGTTCTGGGTGTCTGGCACAATACCAAATAAGAGGGGTTTCTCCTAATGCAGTAGACCTACGAGTGTTCCTTGTGTTTGGTACTGTACAAACAGAAGACTTTTATAGATTCAAAGGGTTTTATCATAGCACTTATGAAGATCAAATTGCTTCAACTGCAATCCAAGAAATCAAAAAAGGAGCAGCAAAAACAGAAAAAAATGCTCTTTTATGTACTGTATCTATTCCTTGGAAATGTGTCTGGTGTTGTTCCTCTGGTAACACGATGAAGAGAAACACAACTGAAACGTACCCTTGGACTCTGGGGAAAAAAAACTGCAGTCGATGATTTTTCCTCTCCTTTGATCACTATCAAAGTGAATATCACTGTTACTCCAAATGTTAAGCCTTGTTCTGTTTGTTGGCGCCAGACTTGCGACGTTGGCTGTCTCTGACACTTGCTGGCCAGTCAGCCAGTCAGTCAGTGGGTGAGTGGGGAGAAGGAGTGTCCACCGAGTGCCTCTCAGCTGTGGTCCTCTGGGCGCCAAGCAGCAGCCCCACAGTGCAGCACTTCCTCTTGGGCTCCGCTTGACCCCCCCCCCCCCCAAATCGTGGACAAACAGCTCCTCCGAGACTGGCCAATCACGGCACTCTGCCACACATGGCATCTCCACTGGGGGCCCACCCCCACTCGACCTTGCTGTCCTGCCCTCTCCCCCATCTCTCAGTTCTTTGACACAAAGATCACTTTAGCTGGAAGATGTAATAGTCATATTTCTGGAATTTTTACCAGTGTACTTTTTTATTTTTATTTTTATTTTTTTGAAAAGATCATTTGATTTTTGTTCCCAATGTGTTATATTGTTGTTTTTCTTTGTCTACATGCAGTGGTCTACAAAATATTGGCTGCTGAAATAAGCCCTTCACTGTTTATATGCAGAAACACTTTGGTCAGAGGTGCCTCTGTATGTTCATCCTGTGTATTGAATGCAAAACGAGGATCAATACTACAGACCGTTATTGTCTATTTGTCTTTAACTGGTCGTGCTTTTGTGTTTGACAGTATTCTGTAGTACTTCCAGGTAGTATCTTGAGATGTGTAAAAATAGGGTGTCTCAGACAGGGGTGTGGGTGTTTGTCGCTCCAAGCTGCTCCACCTGCTCACAGGCTGTCCCCCCCTTGCCCTTCGCCTAGCTGCTACGCTATAACCTCCTCCTCTTCAACCAGACCCAGTAGCCCTCCCCTGACCTGGCACCAACAGGCCCTCATACCTGTTTCTATGCAAAAGACTAGAGGCTGGGCCCTTTACAGCATGCCAAACCTCACACTGGAATGAGTGCTCCTCACCGAGCTTGGCAGCCCCTAACATTTGTCCCTGGTGCACTCCTGTCAGCACTTCAGAACGGCCGCCGTTTCTGTTAAGTCAGGCTAAGCCACCAGAACACTGTCATATATTAAACACTTTATCAAAGGTCGATCTTTCTCTCTGCGCTGAAGACACTTTCTGTCCAGCTTGATCTCAGGGTAGGGGAGTTGATACAAAGTATGAGATGCAGCTCTCCTTATCTGTCCTTTCTACTGTGAGAGCAGTGTCTTAAATTCAAAGGCCATCTGCGCAACAATATGTACAGACCTCATGAACCTAATTGGAAGGGAAAAGACTTGCATTGGATCCTTTTCTCAAAAGGTGGCCTGTTATTTCTGTTTAGGGACCCATTAATGCAAAGATGCCAACATAATGTGCCAATATTAATTTGCTGTGTCATACTGTATCTTTCTAGAGCACACTTCTGTTCCCTAAATGGATCCACTTTGGTAACCTTTTGCAGAGGGTGCAGGGGGGAACAGGAGGGATCAAACAAATGGGCGGCCAGCATCACACCCTTAAATGATTGAGAGGTTATTTTGTTTGTTTGTTTTTTGTTGGGGTTTTTTTTTTTTTTTTTTTTTTTTTTTTTTGCATTTATGGGGAGTTCCCCATGCTAAGGAGAAAATCTTTGCTATGTTTGCTACGGTGCACAGTTGATGATGGGTAATCCCGGGTACATATTTTTTTAAAACCAAAAATGAAATTGCATTTTAACGTCATTTTTATGAAGTTTGACATTAAAATCTTAAAAAAGCTAAATGGAAAAAAAATCTATAATATGTTAAAGCTCTGCACTTCTAGCTGAAACGTCTCCAGTCATCAGCCTCTACTACCACCATCTAAAGAAGTAGACGGGTGGTCGGGGTGCCTTTTTATGGATGCTGTATTTATCTCGTTTTTATGTTTGTGTCCTGCTCAAAGCGGGCCCAATGAACTGAACATTTCCACAGACCCAGATGGCTTGGGCCCTCTGTATCAGCCTCATCCCCCTCCACTCTGCATCAACAGGAGGGGAGGGGCGTATTTCAAAAGGTACAAAGTCTTAAAAACATTTTTTTTAAGTATTTTTTTTTTTTTTAAATAGACAAGAAAACGGGAAAAGGCTACCTTTCAGGACTTGAAGTCCTGCAGCACACAAGCAAAAATCACTATTGCCTGTTTCTGTAACTGCCTTGATCCAAGCTCAGACAGACCCAATAGCCGAGGACCTCCCAGCATCCTGTACTAACTGGAGAACCCTGACAGTGAAGGGGGTTTCCTATGCTGCACCAGCATCGAGAGGCTCTCCTCTCTACAGCTCTGTTCTAGATAACAATATATATGTATACACTACACAAACACACACACACACACACATATATATATATCTATATATTAT